CTATTTGAGTAAACTATCTTATCGAGAAAAAAAAAAATTCTTTTCTCAGTTGAGAATAGGACAGATTTTTTTTTCATCACTAAGTTGACGTCTTGTCTTTCAAAAAACTTTGCCAAGTTTTTTTTTTTAAGTATGAATCCGAGATTTTGTCGCTGAAATTGTGATGAGCAAGTTTTCTTTTTCTTTTTCCTCTGTATGAGTACGAATTTTTTTTTCTTCCACCGTATGAATTTCAAATCCCTTCGAATAATACTGTGGCGAACGCAATTTTTTTTTTCCTCCGTATGAGTTTGAATCCTTGTCATCAAGTGTTGTAGAGTAGTTTCACAGTGGAGTCTTGTATTTCACTAAGTCGGTCCTAAAATAGGTTCGACGTACAAAACGTTAGGAACTTGATATAATAGGTAATGACACAGAGAAATCTAGAGGAAGTCGCTGATACTTTTAGTATCTGACTAACGGTTGTCCGACATCGACTGACTGACTGACCAACTCACTGAGTGACTAGTATTTCGTCACCCCCCCCACGAAGGTATCATGTGGCACAAGGCCGGTTTAATGTGGGATCTCCGAGCCCATGGGCTCAGCCAAAAATATACCCTTTGAACCCGTATAAATGGGTTCAGGGTTGGTTTACCTCCCCGAACGAGACTCCGCCCTTCGGCATCGCATCGTTCGGGTTCCTCCACGTCCAAAGGCAGAGAGTTCAACCATTCAGCCGGTCGTCTGACATCGACTGACTGACTGACCAACTCACTGAGCGACTGCTGACTCATTACTATTACTACTACTACTACTTATTATAGGTGGGAAAGTCTATTAATTATACAATAGGTGTGTTCCACTATAACAGATTTCAACATCTGTGGAAACCTGAGATGACATTTGTAGATGATCCATTAAAATTCACCATGGTACAATTTTGTTACTTTTAGTAGCAAATTGTGATATACAATGTACTTAATTTCTTGTGATCCAGCAGACCCAACTTCAGTATTGAGAAGATCTCTTCAGCCAGGAATCAAAGGACAGTTCTGCCTTATGCCAGTAACCAGATTGCAGTTGGTGAAATGCCAAGGTGATATTTAGTGATGTGTCCAAGGCTATACCTAGGACTGGGATGGCTTAAGATCACATTAAGAAGTCATATTTTGTTTTTCAGTCTCTTCTATAGGGTGACCCAAATGTAAGCAAGGTACCTGTAAGTTTAATATTTTTTTCTTTATTTTCAGATATTTTACAAAATAATCTTTGTAAATTGATCATGTAAAAATAAATGACTGAACAACAGATGCATGTAGTGAATTTTTTCTAACAAACCCAAAGATCAATAATTCAAACTCAGCAAACACCATTACAATGTAAGAGATTCTCCAAGTTTTGAGAGTAAAGGTTCCGTAAGTCACCTTCCGCAAAGTAGCTGATCAAATGATGGAATAGTATTTGAGTGAGTAAGAGAGAGTTGATAGCTCAAATGGCAAGGGCCACAATCCAGCTTCTCAGGCAAATTTTTGGAAAAAGAATAATCTTTCATGGTTGTGTCATAAACTGGACACCATCTCCAGATCTGACAATCCTGGATTTCTTCCTATGGGGCTATCCCATAAGAAAAGGTTTATGTCAAAAAGCCTCACTCCAACCACTGAAGGACAACATTCAGATAGAAATCATAGCCTTAGAGGCTGAAAAATTGAAGGCTGTAATGGAAAATGGCTTAGAAAAAGCATGTTTGAATGAAGAAAATAGATGCCTCTTAAAATATGTTATTTTACAACTAGTGCAAATTTATTTCCCATGTTTATTCTGTATAATGCTATGTTATTGTGAATTAAAGTTAAAAATAAAAGTATTATTAAATTTTGAAACCACTTGGTGAATTTTGGGCCACCCTGTACAATACATACCCAAACTAATTCATTTTATTTGCTATCTTAGAGATTCATTTATTCCATATTATCTTTATATGATACCTAAAACATTTTTGAAGCATCTCCCCCATAAAATGTGTATAAGATGCACATTTTAACCCCAAACTTGTCACAATCTTGTGTCTGATATATATGTATGAATACAGCCATTACTGTTGCATCAATCTTTCTTGACATTCATAGACACAGCCCTCCACTTCTCTCTGTTGCTCAAAATGATCTGCAACTCTTCAATGTTACCCTCTGTATCCTCTAGTAATTGTTTGGTATAGGTTTTTGATGGTTTATCTCTACTACTTTTGCCATGATTTGGTTGACACAGCAGTACAGCAATAAGTTCTTCTTTATTGCACCAGTCGTGTCGTACAAATGTTAATGTATATTTCTGTATGATTTCAGAGATTGGAGGCAGCTCCTTGTTATGGAGGTATTATGCTCTTTGAGCATAATATTGGATCAAAGGATGAAAGGTCTAATTTTTTTAAATGAAAGGATTTTCTTCTTATTGGTTGAGTATCTGAAGAAGGACAAGAAAACTCAATAGGACTGGAATCAAGCACTCGATCACAAAGAGCAGGGCATGGCCAAGACTTCTACAAGAGAACACCACACGTATGGGATGAATGCAGCTGAGAGACTAGAAACACAAAGGACAAACAAATCTGAAATAATACTGGGTAACACAAATATAAAAAATTCTTTGTAATGCCCGCCAATCCCGTTGTGCAGTTAACATGACACACTGCCAAGATCTTTGTCTTCCAAGAAATTGTGCCTGTTTTTATGAAGCCTAAAACTTTAACAAAACTTCGGCTAGCAAAGGAATTATTTGTATTGCTAACACTGCTCAGCTCACCATCCCAACTATCTCATGGGGAAGCTGGTAAACATTTTTTTTCTTCATAAATAGACTTTCTGGGGTTTGCACCGGCTTTTGTTCTGTTAGGGCAGCCATGTGCTGTCTTTCTGCAGAGACAGCACATTAAACATTGTCTCTTTGACTGACAGGGGTCGGTACCCTTATCAGTAGTAATTGGTTGCTCTGTTTGTATTTCATTTCCACTACACTTTACTAATAATAATCAAAGTAATGAAGATTTTGTGGGTTCTGAACCAAACTAAATAACAGTAAACCTTCATTTTAATGGTATTTTGGTAATTTGAACTCTCTTGTGTTTAAAACAATATAGACTCGTTTTTAAAGTACCAGATTGAATTTTTGTTCAATAAAAATCTTTCAAATATGACTAGTTTTTTTCAAAATCTTTACCTTCAAAATAAGTATGTGTCTTATATTTGACAAACTATGTGAGTTATTGCTTAAACTGTATTAAGAAGTCATCATGAGAGTATTTTTTTTGATAATTTCACCCCAAGCAATACAATAAAGTCACTAAGATGTAAGGGATTATTGAAAGAATGTGAAAAATAATAAAAAGAAAAACACTATTAAGGAGCGAGAAAAATAAAAGAGGAAGAATCAAGAAGACAGAAGATAATAATTGACATTACATTTAAAATTTTGAAGATCAAAGTTGTCCAGAGAGTAAGAAGCTGGAAGAGAGTTCTGCAGACAAGAAATGCAAGGAAAAAACTGTTAACAAAGAACTTCCGGTTATATCTAGCCAATTCAACTGTAAAATGATTAGACATTGTTGTCAATCTAGTAGTGCACTTAAATTCATAAAGTCTTGGTACCATAGAGCAAAGTTCATCAGAACAATTACCATAAAAGTATTTATAGAAAAGGCACAAGAAGCAACATTATGGCAGTGGGAAAGTGTGATGCCAGGATGTCAGGTCAGGAACAATAACATTGCAGATTCTTCTTTGGATTTTCTTAAGAATATATAAATGTATAACAGGAGCACCAGACTGTATGTGGCAGCAATATTTGAAGCATGAATGAATGGTAGACTTAAAAATATGTAAGATAGATTCTGGAGATAAAAATTGTCTAACAAGACACAGTGAACCAAATGGTTCTTGCTGGTATTTAATTTCAGATATCAGAGTATTTTCAAATGTGACAAATAGACACTATTCTATATGTGTCTATATCTCTGAGATGAGTTATTATGATTATTTATATTATTTACATTATTTGGATTGTTATCCTCATCTTCATTGTCATATTCATAACGTTTTGGCCATTGTATACTCAGGCCTTCTTCTGGTGATTGGAATTTCAAACTGAACCGGGTAGATTGTTGTAGTTCCACATGCCATGCCTCTTCCAGATGTCTCAGTTATTTCCCTTTAACTCAACTCTCCAAGTTTTTCACCAATCACCTGAAGAAGGCCAGAGTGTAAAAATGCTGAAATGTGTCAATGAATATGAGGAAAACATACTAAATAATGTGAATAATGTAAGTAGACACTATGCTAGCTTTAAAAAATACAACCTTGTACTTGCATTTAAATTCACAAATATAAACTCAAATCAAAGTAACTTAAGTGTTTCAAATCCTCTTAAAGCTGAATCAATATATGTATTGGTATTGTTTTATAACATTAAGTGCATATCTTTGAATCTATTTAATGCAGAATGTAAATCTTTTACCAAATTGCTTCAGTTACTGGTTATGTCACATTACATACCTATAAGACTTTTCAGGTAGCATAATAGATATCAGCATGGAATGTAGAATTGGCAAGCCAAGTTCAAATTGTAGCCTAGTCTGTTGCATTCTCTCTAGCACAAATATCTTTTAAATAGCAAGGTAGACTGAACACATTATTTGTTGTGTTGATGGATGTGCTTATTCATGTTAAGTAAGAACAAACACACAGTTTAATCCTTTATACATTTTATTCTCTATAACAATAGATGTACAATGACCAGTACATTACTGGTAGATTAATAGTTCTTTTTTGGGAACATATAAGAATGTGACCGCCATCTTGAAATAATCTTTGTTGTCCTAGGGAGTTCTGGTGTTCTGATCAAGGAGCGTAACTTGGTTCCCATCTGGGGAGTGAGTTAGCTCCCTTGTTATGACATCAGTCCTAACATTATCCTTGGGTGGCAATCAGTCTTAGAGAAGGAAATCTGTGGAGAGTCTTGATAGTCTACATCCTGAAGAGAGATGACATTAAAATTTTGCATCTATGTAACTATCTATTAGTACCTTTTGTTCAATCTTAATTATAAATATAAAAATATCAATTGAGAGATCAAAGGAAACATCTTTTGTAAAAATATTTGAACACTAAGGTATCTTAATTATATTACCTTATTGCTATTGTTATTAGTAGTAGATTCAAAGGATAAAAGATTATTTGAGATTATCACAGGAATTTCATAAGGGAAAGAGCATTTTGAAAAATAAATAAAAAAACAACTCACCTTCCTCTGAGAAGCAGGGAGAGCTTTTCTCCACATGGGGTAATTCCCTCTGTTGCGTAAGTACTTCCTTGACGCAGATACACAAGGCTGCCAATTCGGGTGAGGGATCTGAACTCTATACGTGATACACCGAGTGGCTTGAATAATTTGGCATAGGCATCCTCATATTCCTTGTTAATATGGACGGGATACATGTTGTAGGCCAAGTATAAAATTTGCGCAATGTTGATGAAAAAGAAGGCACAGTTCCATGCCAAAATGTCTGGCAAGCAAATGAACAGTCCTGCCCAGAGGATGTAGAAGAGGAAGGTGAAGAGCAGGAGGCAGCGCAGGAAGAGAACATGATATTGGAAGCTGATGGGTGTCAGGAAAGAGAAGGCCATACACAGACTGCCCAGCTGAAAGAGGATGTGCTGGACATCTTGCCACACATGACAGGACTGTGTCTCATTTGTGCTTGTCCAGTTGAAGCTTGTATTGTTCAATGTCGGCAGCAGTACTGCATGTGTCAGCGAAGAACTGTTGACAAATCTGTTGACGACATTCACCTCAGTAGAATTGAAGGGCATAGTGCACATTCAGGCAAGCAACTGGAGAGGCAGGGGGTGGGGATAAAAAAATAAACTCCAGTTGATTTAGAGATGTGAATCTGAAAAAATACCAAAATAATTTTTATAATTTGACAGAATAAAATATATTGATGGTTGTTCTATATTTATGAAAGTATACAAATATTAGATATGTTATAAAGTATTACAAAATAGTATTTAAAAAATAATAAATAGAATTGGTATATTTTAAATTTTATCAAATGACTATGTTTAATTCCAATAATACATTTGGTTTTTAGTACAAAACTTTCAACATTTGTTCTTGTAGACTTGTAAAAAATATAAAGATTTGCACATAACATATTTCATGTATTTACAGCTGAAAATATTCAGATAAAACCAACTGATTCTTAAAGATGAATTTTGAAGTACATTATAAAGTTTGCGTTAGATATTTCAAAGGCTTTTGACAAGTTGTGGTTACAGCATAAACTCTCTAGCTACGAAATCACTGGAAGAGTTTTCTCAATAATCTAGTCTTTCCTAACAGAAGGTATTTGTCAATGGCCAGTCCTCCAAGGCACAAGTGATAAATGCAAGTGTCCTCCAAGGCTTGCTTCTCAGTTCAACCCTCTTTTTACTTTAAATAAATTATCTGCCTAAAAGTATACTATAATCATTTGTGAATTATCTATGCTGATGATACAACAGTATATGGGTGCACTTCCAAAATTCTAGATGACCAGAGCTTGGCAGCTGATCTCTCCTCTGACTTAACTTTAACAGCTCAGTGAGAAAAAAAACTGTATGTATATATATATATATATATATATATATATATATATATATATAAACCGAAACCTAGACAAGCCATCATTGACAACTGGAAAATATGCCAGTGACAAATGTATCATGATTGTAGACAAATATGACATTTTTATTTTTTTGAAAGGACATTGAAGGGACGGGTATGTTAATCAGATGTAAAGTTAACAGAAATTTCTTTTTTAATTTTAGCTTCAGGAATCTTCTTAAAGGGACCTATAGATAAAATTAAAAATCTGGAACATCTATATAAGATATTAATAATACTAAATGGATGGCAATATATAGTGACATTAAAGCTGAATAAACAAAATTAGGTAATTACTCATAGAGGGTGGACCATTATATTCTACTGAGTTATGGCTATAGGAAATTGTAATACATAATTTTTAAAATTAACTATATTTTAGGGTAAAAGATAAACTGTGTTGCCAATTTACGGTTAATTCATTCCTTTGGTTTAACAGGAATTTTTGTCAGTAAATTTGATAATTTCTAATTTTTCATGTAAGCATAAGAAGCAAGGTTCAATTAAAGATTTACAATTTCTAGTCTTTTTTAGTATTTTTCATTTTATTATAGGGGTTTTATTAACTTCTTCTAAGTTCCAAAAATATTTAGAAAGGGATACCCTATTTCTATATGGGTTATTGGAGAAAGATAATATATGTTGGTTCCATCTAGTTTTAAAGGAATTCTTGGTACTCCTGATATAAAATTTTTTAACTGTTGGATTTTCTAAGTAGATTTTCTATGTGATTTGAGTAAGAAATAGGTTTTGAAGCCCAAAACATATGTAACCAATTTGAATAATTAATAATTTTGGTATCTACAACTGTTGTATAGTAAAATTGTTCATTGTAGATAAATGAAGCCAGATAGGACATTTCAATCCATTTATGAAATTAACATACTGTGTATCTGGTATTAATTATAAAGATTAAAATAAAAATCCTGTATTATAGATTACTGAAAAATACTGTATTAATGATAAAGCATAAAATAAAAATTTATGATTAATTATAGGTTTATAAAAATCTGGTATTAATCATTAGTTTCTACTTACAAGCCACGATAAAATAAGATAATGAGGTAATACATCAATATGTACTAAGACTGAAGTTGTCACAAAATAATTGTATTTACTATTCATTCATATTTTTGATCAGAAAATAAAACTGTCAGTCAAGAAAACTTTTTACTTTTTCTTCCATGAAATAACCTTTCTGCATTTTTGCTTTCTCTGCATGTAAACTGGGGGCAATAATTCAAATTACCTGATACTAATCACAAATGTGTCAAGGGATTTTAATGCTGCAGATCCCTAGTTTTATACATTACAAAAATCAATGAAGCCAATGGCAAAGTCAGAAAAAACATCCATTTATCTAAAAACTGATGTTAAGAGACATGGAACAAGGAAATGCTAGATTTCTATTCCTGATATTAAAGTGCTCATTAAAAATGATTTATGTTGAACTATATCTTCGTTGACTCAAAATCAGCCCTGTACATTGTGTATTTGAGCTGAATGTCAAAAGAGATTAACTTTCTAAGTGCATATTGTTTTTCTACTGGAGCAATTGAACAACTCAACTCAAGCTTGATTAATATCAGGAATCTTATAATGTCAGCTTCTGTATTTGATAGCAATTAACACAAAGACTTTAGAGAAAAAAACAAGAGGAATAGCATGAGTTTTATGCATGGGCTTTTACAGATGATAGATTTCTTGACAAATTCTGATGAATGTCTATCAGTATCTTCTTGTGTTTGAAAGAGGAAAATGTTATTTTTGTTTCATTGATCAAAAGATATACAGATGTTTGTACCAGAATTAGTGAATTAGACTAGATTCAAAGAGCTCTGTAAAATATTGCTAGATATATTTCTAATAAAATAAATAAAAACAAATTTCAATGACTTTTCCAAAAATCAATAAATTTTGTTTTAATGAAGCATGAATATTCAACATATATTGTTTCAGTTTGGATAAGACAAAGTTATAAAAAAACAAGTATAGTTTACTAACATTACTTGGTAGAAAAAAAGACATGATAAAAGATATGGCTTAAAAGTATACTTTTTAAACTAACGATTCTTTATCAAGATCACAATGCTCAAAAAAAAAGCTCAGTTTTACTTTAATATAACTTGTTATTTATTCACCATTAAAATTTTATCTATCAAATAGTAACTTTTGGAATATTTGTATTGATTTATTTACATTAGTTATAAATTGACTAATGTCCTCATCTCTGTTGTTAATATTACATTTCCCCTATTATGCCTTCTAGCCTTTATCAGGTGCTTGTTGATCCAAATAACTTACAGGGAATTTCAAACTGAACGCTTTATTTAATCAACAGAGATAGATTATTCTCAATCTACTCTCCATGTTTAAGGATATCTTGTACTGACTTTTAAAATAAACTTTCCCATTTATTTTATTATATCAAATTCAAGATAAATGCTAAATTACTGGGATTATCTTTCTCCACTGAATTTAAAAAAATATGTAAGCAGCATCAAATCAAATAATTTGGTGTGAATTCAAATTATCTTTCACATTTCTTACTTTCTTTTTACTTTAAATAAGTATTTACAGTATTTACATTGTTCAGACCGTTGTGCTCATCTTTATTGTTATATTCACAATGTTTTTGGTCATTGTGATTGTAATTTCAAACCAAACCCTTTATTTCATCCACTGAGGAAGATTGTTCTAGTTCCATGTGCCATGCCTCTTCCAGATATCTCAGTTTCAGTTATTTCCCTTTAACTCAATTCTCCAAGTTTTTGTTCACCTCTGATGAGGCCAAGTGTTGAACTCACAACTCTTTGGGTCAAGTCACTGGATTACCAACACTTTTATTCACTGGGTGATGAAACATTGTGAATATGACAACAAAGATGAGGACAACAGTCCAAACAATGTAAATACTGTAAATAATTATAATACCTCATCTAAAAATATTGAAAGATACTTTATACTTCTTTTGTCAGTTTCATGTTTTGCTTCATATCTGTTTTAAATTGACTAATTTTAAAAATTAAAATTTAGTAATTTGTGATAACATCGACGATGACCCACTCATATTGAGTGAATATTGCCCCAAAGAGGTTTGACATCAGTTTATCAGAATTAAATTTAAAAAGGTCTAATTTAAAAAGGAAATCAAGTAAGAGAAGTCTTGATTGCATTTATTGAATATCTGAATAAAATGTAGGAAATTAACTAATTAGGAAAGTTAATTAGTTTTGAGAAATTAGATGAGTTGAGTGGTTCTTAATGAATCATGCATGAATAATAACCTGGGGATAACTTATTATAACTAAGTATGGCCCAGGACCTACACTCACTCACTAAATCAAGTGAAAATGATGATAATTTATGAATTACTTCCTTTGCCAAAGTAAAAAAAAAATCTCTAAAAAACATCGTGATTAAATTGTTTAGATAAAAAAAAAACTATTCATTAGATTTCTGTGGTTTCTTAGGCAGAATAATTCTGGAAAAATGGCTTTTCCAAAACTTGGTTAGTCAACAAATAATCCATATAGTTTTGTTTGTAGTATCAAAAGAAAAATGGTTTAGGTGAAATTGGTTTAACTGAATTTGGTCAAGTGAAGAACTGGCCATGTGCTTTCTGAACAAAAATAAAATTGTTAGAGAGCTTAAATTAATAGTTAAATCTTAAAATTATATTGTTGGTGAAAGCTGATAAATTATCCTATATTTAGAAATTCACTGTGCAATTTAGACAGTTCTACAGATATATAGGAAGAGACTGACAAAGACAAGATGTAGGCAGGCACAGCAAGTGAGATATGAGAAAAGCAGATAATAGTAGCAAGTCAAAAGCTCTCTCACATGAATAACAGATCATCTCTCTGATCAACAGTAGTAGCCATGAATGAACAGACCACAAGACTACCAACAGTCACAGATTACTGTGTATTGCTGTCAAACATTACAGTTGGAGGAAGGCTTGTCACTAGTTTGAAAAATAGTATAATGAACTACTAAAATAAATTATGTCTTATTAAAATCTTGTTCAGAATTCCATTTACTTCATCATTATTCCAAGATGTAAATTAATCTTGGGAATCTGCCAGCTTTAGTTTCATGAGGCACATAGCTAGTTTAGGCCTACAACATTTTAAATTTGTGCTTGAAACTTCTTCAGATA